CACCAACCTTACAAACATCCATCACTTCCATGCAGTTTAAAAAAAGCTTTGACACTCACAGAGTTCAATAATTTGCTGAGAGCAGTTTCCAACTGAGCAATGTGGCTTAGATCAATTCAGGCTCTTTAGCAAATTGGCTTTGTGTTCTTATTACCCCAATCTATGGGTTTATGACATTGTCAAATGGAATTAAAACACACTGGCTGCTGTTTCCAGCAACACAAAGCTAAAGTCAATTGCAAAGCAGGAGAAGGCAGTCATCTGTCATTAGCAGGGCTATATTACACCTATCGTCTCTGGACTTCAGGTTTTTATCTTAGCAACCACCAGCTTTCAGCACTGTCAGGGTAAGTATAAATTTTATTATGTTAAGCAAGACCTGAAACAATTAAAGCAAATACTTTATTAATAGAAACAAGTACTGAGAGGAAAGGCTGAAAGCATAGTCTGCATAAGTGCAGGCTGCTTCTAACTCAAGGTCAAACCCAGATCAGAACTGAGAGCATGATAAAAAAATCAGCAATAGAAATGCTTGATAGCATCTGTGCCACAGACTTAGCTGCAATTCTGGAAACCTCACTGCTCAAGTCCTAGAAAAGCCACTGTGAGCTGGGATCTGCAAAATCTTTTCTTACCGGAGAACTGCAAGAGCAAAAGACAAACATCTGGGCATAACCTTAAAAGTAATCTGTTGGAACAGGTTCATGCAGCGCAGAATAAAGTTCAGCTTTAAATGATGAAGGCATGAAACATGAAGAAAAATGGATTAAGAGGTTGACTTTTCTGGGTATTCCAGATTCTTTTTAAAGCCAACAACATTGACTTCAAATAGTACTAGAATAGGGGTTCTGCTGACCACCAATCTGTAGAAACCTCTTTTTCAGCTGTGACTCTGACAGAATAGCAGAAAAGTCTCCAAGGCTTCAAGAAATATGGTTTGGATTTTAAGTGAGACTTGCAAAACGACTGAAGTAAAAAAATGTAAAATAAAAAGCAGCCAAACGTCATGATCTTTTCTCATCTAAGTAAATCAAACTAGAAGTTAAGAGCAAATTAGGATTTAATTTAGCAGTTATAACTGGGTTAGATTTTCCCAAACTACAGTCCATACTATAGATGCAAGTTAAACATGCCTTCTACAGCTTCTTTTTATGCATCTCCAGGAATTTTTCCAGGTACATTACTACATAATTTCCTCCAAAAGTTTATTTTAAAGAGAATTTTCACAAAAATTTGCACATTACTGAACTCAAAGGAGCAATCCTACTCATTCATTTCTGGCACAAAGGAAACGACAAGCCTTTCACCTGGGTATGAAGAACTGGAGACAAAGTTGTATTTTGGCTTGGCTAGATTGTTTAATCATCAACTGAGTATGCTTAAATCATTGCTGTAACATTGACAGGTCTCCCAAGAGTGGCCACCTTGGCCAGTTTATTTTAAATAAGGAAATATCTCGCATCCAAGCTAAGCTGTCCTACATAACAGCCATGGTCCTCTGACCAGGTTTGCATCACTCACCTGTAATTTCATTTCCCCTTCCTTGCTGTGTGGCTGCCCAGAGGATGAGAAGAGAAATAAGAGTGATCCCGTCCATCCTATTGCCCATCCTGGATAAGCCCTTCCTATCGCTTTGTTTCCAAGGTGGTAAAGCTTGATCGCCCTTACATGTAGGCTTTTGGATGAGGGGAAAAGGTGCTTTGTTTTTTTACCTATTGCAGGTAGGTGATAACTACTGGCAACAGAAACAAAGAGGCTCCGGTGGGAATTTTGCCAGTTCTCTCTCCTTCACACTCTCCCCAAGGAACCTGCCTCTTCTGCCTGCTCAGCTTGACTCCCCATCAGCTTGACTTTGAGAAAAAACATTTTAAAATTGCTGGTTTAGTCCATGTTTTCCCTTCCGAGCATTTACTCCCTCTCATACCTGAGAGCTAGGAGCGAGATTTACATACCTCCAGTATATGTCAAGTATTTGTATGTTAAATTTCATTTCTGTCCACACTTCAGGGGATACTATTTTGTAAGTTTTTAATTCTATACATTAAAAAAAAACTAAAAGAAAATGTCTATGTCAATGTTTTTTTTCCTGAATTTAAGCTGTTTCACTGTCTGTTCTCGTTGTGCTCCTTATTTCATTGCAATTTCAGCATCATATAAACCAAAGCAATGCTAGGCAAACAACCTTATTAGGCAGGGCATGAATCAGGAGATTTGAGAAACGAAAATCCCTTTCTTTTCCTTGTGTTAATCATGAAGGCATGTTCCCAAGATAGATGAGCCTACAACTTTACAACAGAGTATCACTTGGCTCTTGCAAAGAAAAGAAGTAAACCCAACACGATGCTTTATGAGGAGCTGACACTGAAGTATGGAAAATTACAACTATAGATCTTGAGGCTGAGGCAGTATGTTCAGAACCAGCACTCGAATACACATTACACTACTTTAGACAATTTCATGTGGATGAAGGAATTAGATGTAAGGGAGCTGGAACCACAAGCTCTCTCATTTGTCCATTTCAGAATATCATTAATATCTCTTCTGTAAAACACCGTTGGGTACTCACAAGGGGGGAAAACAAAAAAAAAGGAAAAAAGGAAAATTCATGCTTGTCCAGACTCAAGTCGAAATCTGTTTTTGCAGAAAATGAGAGAATGGGCAGTGGAGAATATTTCAACTTAAAAAGGCCAAAACTCAAAATATATTTTGGTTTGGAAACATTTCTGCTATGTCTAAGGAGAATGTATACCTTAGCATCCCTTCTCCTGCAGGCATCAGGATGTCTCGTCAGGCTGTATCCATTTACATCTCCTGTCAGCACAGGGAGAGTGTGGCTCTATGCTGTACAGAGCATGGTGTCTGACTTAAAAATCCTACTAATAAAAACATTTTTTTTTCAAAAAAAAAAATACTTGAGCCAGTGAAATTCAATTTGTAAATAGAAATATTCCTTTTAATGACATATTCTTTTTCTTGAGCAATCTAAATTTTCTGGAAAAAATATCTTGATTGAAAATTTTGACTACCACTCACAAAAAAGATCTTTAGCCTTTACAAATTACGTGACACCTTCAGTGAGACATGAATATCCTGGCTAAATTCAAATATAGGCCATATTAGACTGGCATGCGAATTGGACTGCATCTTGGGTTTTTCACTCACAATCCTAAACTGCTGGATAGGGTTGCCATATGTCTTAAAACAGCTGCTGCTTTCCAGAGTCAGCTATAAAACAAATGTCATCATCCTCACTGCTGGCAACTTCTGTGAGTGAAGTATGATCCTCCAAATTGCAGTGAAGGACTAACATCCCTGTTCCAAAGGACTTAAGCATACGTGCTTGTTTTCAGGACTGTTAAAAAACATGGATAAAACTTTGCACATTTACAGCTCTGTCTTGCCACAGCAGCTGTAGCACGCTTTTGTTCAGGGCGAGGCAATTGAGTTGCAGTAGTGAATGAAATGGTTCCTAAAAATATAGAAAATGCAGAACTCCCTTTTCAAACAAAACCGTGAGCAAAGTCAGGGAGTATTAAATCTAAACAAGAAATGTTGTGGTCAATGGAGTTAAATTCAGTGGCGGCCAGTCACGAGTGGTGTCCTTCAAGGCTCAGCACTGGGGCCACTCCTGTTTAATATTTTCATCAATGATCTGGATGAGGGAACAGAGTGCACCCTTAGTAAGTTTGCAGACAACGCCAAGCTGGACAGAAGTGTTGATCTGCTTGAGGGTAGGGAGACTCTACAGAGGGATCTAGATAGGCTGGATCGCTGGGCCAAGGCCAATTCCATGAGTTTCAATAAGGCCAAATGCCGGGTCCTGCACTTTGGCCACAACAACCCCCAGTAGCGCTACAGGCTTGGGGAGGAGTATCTGGAGAGTTGCCAGGCAGAGAGGGACCTGGGGGTGTTGATGGACGGCCAGCTGAGCATGAGCCAGCAGTGTGCCCAGGTGGCCAAGAAGGCCAATGGCATGCTGGCCTGGATCAGCAATGGTGTTGTCAGCAGGAGCAGGGAGGTGATCGTGCCTCTGTACTGGGCTTTGGTGAGGCCCCACCTTGAGTACTGAGTCCAGTTCTGGGCCCCTCACTACAAGAGGGACATTTCTCCAAGATAACTCTTCCAGATTGCCACCAGTTCAATCTGATTACAGCCTATCAGTGTGAGAAAGCTCAGGCTATGGCCACAGCAGATTGTGGAAATGGATGGAGGTGCTACCAGCCCTGAAGATCTCACACTGGAAATAAACTGATCAGGTCAGGAACTCAAAGGCAAAACCATAGTGCTAGTTGTGAAAGAAGGTGATGAGAAGTTCAGATGAGACGTGATTCCATCTGATTTTTGCCCCATGGTTGCATTCCCTAGGGCCTGTGACTCCCAGTGAATTTTGTGTTACCATCAGGGCAGTCTTAAAAACTGCTCCTACTGTGACATCCTATGTTTAGTAAGGGCTGAGCTCAAACCAGTTTTTCCCTTAGTGAGGCACTGCTAAGGGTTTTTTCTTTTCTTCACTCCTGATCTTTGCAAAGCCTGTAGAAACTAAATGGCCTTTGAACCTGAGGGTGATGTGTCAAAACTGGCTTAAATTGGTCAGCAAGGCCCAAAGGTATTAAAGAGGGACAGGCTGACTTATGCAGAAGTAACCTTTTTGCATTAAAGATGAAACAAAATAAATCACTCCTGTCATTAGGATACCAGTTTATTCCAGCTTCTTAAAATCAGTACTTATAATGGACACCTTAATGGTTACTCCCTACAGAGAACTGGACTTCTCAAGAACTACTCATCTCTCAGAGTTAAAATACAAGTCTGCAATTCCAGGGACTTGACTTGCCTGCCAGAAACCTCTTGTACAGCCACAAGCAAGTCACACCGGTCAAATCTGCCACCACAATGAAGTCATGGGTGCATCAGAAAGCCCATTATTTCAGACCTCGTGAAAGCCATGGCTACAATACTGTAAATATGCTTTTGCTTAAGTTAACTGAGAAAGAAGTGGAACAGAAAAAACATTGGGTTTGCCAGCATATGTTAAATCTGTGTTAGAATGGACAACAGCTAAAGTAGCAATTTTTGGAAGAGGTTCTTTTTTCCCTGAGCTTCAGATATATATCCAAGAAGTGGGATAATAACACTTGCTTATTTTGCTGATGCGTTTCAGAGAAAAATGCATTTATAGATGAATAAAGACATACACAAATGACAGTTAAAAAATCATTCACATAAAGCCCTAAGAGTTAATTATCTCAGCTGTGCAGGCAGAACAGTCCCTGACTGTATTCAGTGATTTGTTCTGTCTCACCAACAAACTGTTCCTCAGGAAAATCTTTGGGTTTTGTTTTTTCCCTGAACACACACACACACACACACACAAACTGTTTTAAAGTGACTCATGAGGAAAAAGTTCTTACTGGTAACAGAAGGAAAAAATATGAGTCAGGCGGAGGTCATGCTGAACCTCTGCCTGGCCTTGCTCCTCTGACTGAGAGCCGGTTGTGCAATCTCAGCACAGAGAAGCACTTGTTTGCTCTGGTGCTTTGATGGCATGGTCCCTTTCCCAACACCAAGTCAGGTACCAGATGAGATTGTTGATCACACCTCATACTTGATTCAGCAGTGCTGCAGATTAGTAAATCCCATCTAAGTCATTTCATAGCATAGTTCTTGGTTTTAACTCTAAACCCAAGCATTTTTGAAAGAAAGCAGTCTGTGAGGTGGATACTGCCCTTTGCTATGAAAGCTTACTTTGAAGAGAAGTCAGAGGGTTTCCTGCTCAGCATCCCACCTCCTCCCCTGTGGGGTACAAGAGCCAAGCCCACCTGAAGGTCGTATTCAGCCAAGAGTGCCTGGCCTGTATCAGCACTTGGTGATGGGGCTGAAGCCCCTCCTCGCTCCATGTCACTGGCTGCATCACCAGCTCCTTGAAGCAAAAGGCCGGGAACATAGCACCGACACTGGTCTCAAGCTTCCTTGCTGACCTGATGCCCCAAGGCTCAAGGATGGCAATGTCTTGCAAACACCAGCCACCAGCCAATGGATGCACCAGGCTTCATGGATTTGTGCCAGTGCCACTGCCTGTGACCCACTTTTTTGGCTGAAGGCACGTGCTGCTTCTCTTGGAAGAAGGATGGTTTCCTATTTCTTATCCATCCTAAATCCTTCCGACACACAGACAGGATACAGATGGGAAGGACACAGGACTGTGCATGCAGCTGGCAACTCCCCTTGGTAATCCATCTCTTGCACATACATGCAAAACCTGCCTCTGATAAGCAGATTTGAAACACAAAATAAAACTACCAAAACATACAATTTGCTTTTCACTGTACGTCAACACAAGATTTGGCCCTTACATCGAGCTAACAGATACAAAGATATACACACAGACTCAAGTACACATTTCTGAAGAGAATTTTTTCTAAACTGTTGCAGAAGCTAACCAGTAGTCCAAACTCCAGAAAAATTTTCCTAATTTGTGTGAGATCTTTTATTGATGAGTTAGATTTAAATGCTTGTAGGAAGCTTCTCACTTTGAAGGACCTAAAGAAAAATCATTTCTAAGTGCTTCTGAGCCAGCTCAATAAATGCAGAGAAGCT